ACCTGGCCAAAATTTTTTTTAAAACCTCCCAACCAGGCAGGCGTGGTGGTGCACGCCTTTAATCCCAGCACTTGGGAGGCAGAGGCAGGCGGATCTCTGTGAGTTCGAGGCCAGCCTGGTCTCTATAGAGAATCCAGGCCAGCTAGGGCTACAGGGAGACACTGTCTCAAAAAGACCAAAAAAACCCCCAAAAAACAAACCTCCCAACCTAATTCACGCAGATCCCCTAGGAAAGTGCTTTGATGAATGTGGTCTGCCCCCATAGCCTGCCCATGAGTATACAGCCCTGCTTGCTTGCTTTCAGTAGTGGGTAGCTGAGGCAGGTGATCTCAGATCGAGGCCAGCCTGGTCTATATAGTGAGTTCCAGGTCAACTGGAGCTACAGGGAGACACTACCTTAAAAAATTAATTTTTTAAAATTTATTATTATTGTGTGAACAGGTACACATGCCACGGTGCACTGTGGAGGTCAGAGACAACTTTTCAAAGTCAGTTCTCTCCTTCCACCTTTACATGGGTTCTAGAGATTAAACTCAAGTCACTAGACTTCTGCAGCAGTGCCTTTACGTACTAAGCCATCTCACCAGCCCAAAAGTAGACACTTTTTTTAAATTTATTATTTTAATTTTATGTGTGTGAGTATATTGCCTGCATGTGTATAAGTGCACCCATGTTGTGCAAAGCTCAAAGAAACCAGAAGAGGGTGTCGGATCCCCTGGAACTGGAGTTACAGACAGTTGTTAGCTGCCTGCCATGTGGGTGCTGGGAATCAAACCTGGGTTCTCTGGAATGTTCTTAATTGCTAAGTCATCTCTCCAGCCCTAATTTTTAAATTTATTTATTTTTATTTTATGTGTATGAGTGTATTGCCTGCATGTGTGTAAGTGCACCCCTGTTATGAAAGCTCGCAGAGGCCAGAAGAGGGCATCGGATCCCCTGGAATTGGAGTTATGGACAGTTAGCAACCATGTGGATGCTGGAATTCAAACCTGGGTCTCCTATAAGAACAGCCAGTGCTCTTAACTGCTGAGCCATCTCTCTAGCCCCCATAAGTAGAAAACTCTTAAGGCCAGGAGATGGACATGTGTCTTGCTCATGTGGAGGTTCTTGTCTTACAAAGGTCCACAACAATGCTCAGAGACTCACACTATCTTCCTGACACTCCCAACTGAGTCCCTCCTGGAGTCTCTGGCTGGCTTGCTATCTGCTGCTAGTTCCTGTCTTTTCATCTGTGACCTCTGCTCCCTTCATCTGTACTTCTCACTTCACAGACTGTAGTGTTTCTGCTTTTTCTGGAGAGAAGGTGGGATGTCTTCCTCTTCTCAAGGTTACAGCTGCCTGGACTAGGAGGAAATGTGCTTCCCCCCAGGCCCTCTTGGTGTTTGACTATAGGAATAAGCACAGCATAGAGCACACAATCTACCTGAATCTCTACTATCTCATCCATCAGCCACATTACTGAGCACTTACTTGTGCCAAGTGCTAGAGACACACAAGTGACCAAACATCAAGATTATATAATCTTGTTCCAGTGGCCCTGACACTTGAGGATACCCCAAAATAAAGTCTTCTGTACTTATATACTCATAGAAATGTTTGTGATTCCTGAAACTAACAAAAGACTCATCTGAAATGTATGGTGTGGAATACAGTCTTGAGCCTAGAATGGAAGTCCTAGTGACAGCCATACAGCAGGCCTGAGGCAATGGCCCAATGCTGGAGCCACGAGGAATGTCTTGTGATTATCACTCCATTTGGCAAGTCATAGGGCTGACACTTAAGGCTTTCCACTCCCTAGTCGCCACCCCTTGAAATTCCAGGTTGCGGTTTATCTACAGCTTGCAGCACATGGGCATAACAACAGCCATGGTCACATGATTTCCCAGAACCAGGGCTGCCCATATATCACATAGTCATATCCTTGTCTGATTGGTCCCGGAACCCTATATAAGCTTGTAAATTCCTCAATAAAATAGATCTGCATCACTGAACCTGGTCTCTGGTCTCCTGTGTCTGAATGCGGCTCTGCTGACACAGTCTCCTCACCAGCCCTGGGGTCCAGGATCGGGTGGCGGCGACGACCATGAAGGTGGATTTGATGGACGGCTGCAGTATGGAATCCTACAAAGCAGTAAGACAAAAAGCCCAATAGAAAGTTGGCACAATACTTGAACAAATGGCATAGAAATATATGAAAAAAGTGCTCAACCTTATGGTTATCAGGGCAATGCAAATCTAAACCTCAATGAAATACCACTACATATCTACCAAAATGACTAAAATTTTTAATCTTTTCAGATTGATAGCTCCAGTGTCAAATTGCAAACATTACTAGCAAGAATATAAATTAGTGGTCTGGAGAGATAGATCAGTAGTCAAGAGCACTGGCTGTTCTTGCAGAGGACGTGCGGTTTGGTTCCCAACATCCATATGGAAGCTTAGAACCTTCCTTAATGCCAGTTCTAAAGGATCTGACACTCTTTTCTGGCCCCTGTGGGCATTGTATGACATGAGTACACTTACATACATGCAGATACTCATATACATAAAACTGAATAATTTAAATCTATGAAAAGAATATAAATTAGTACAAGCACATTAGAAAATTATTTAGTAGCTAAACACTTGCCTGTCCTATGTCCCAATAATCCTGTTCCTATGTGTATTTCCAACAGAGATGACTGCAAGTGTAGCAGATTACATAAAGATGCCACAGCAGTCTTATAGAATAACCACACCTGGAAAGAATGTAAATGTCTATCAATAGAATAGAAATTGTGGTATATTCCTATAATGACATATTACACTACAATAAAAGTAAATTAGTGTTATATGTATGAGTGAGAGGAACCAGACACAAAATCATACCTCCTAGGTGGTTCCATTTATAAAAAGTTCAAAAGCAGGCAGACAAAATTGTTAAAGGTTACCTTTGGGAAAAGGGATAATGACCAGGAAGGCTTCTGGTAATGATCATTAGTAATGATCTAATTCTTTTTAGCATTTAAAAAAAAATTATATGTATCTGTGCCTATGTGAGATTATGTGCATCAAGTGCATGCAGGTGCCCTCAGAGGTCAAAGGGCATCATCAGATCCCCTGGAACTGGAAATATAGGTCGCTGTGAGCCACCTGATGTGAGTGCTGGGTTTTCTGTAAGAATAGTTCAGTACTCTTAAGAGCTGTTGCTGAGCCATCACTCCAGCTCCCATACTTTTTTTTTTTTTTTTTTTTTTTTTGAGACAGGGTCTCACTATGCAGACCTGGCTGACTGGAACTCACTATGTAGACCAGGCTGGCTTTTGTCTGCCTCCGCTTCCCCAATGCTGGGTTTAAATTTGTGAACTACCAAGCCCCGTTTTCTTCTTATTCTTGTTCTAGGTGGTAGCTATGTGGGCTTGTTTACTGTGTCATAAGTTGGTCTATACTTGCTTTTATACACTTTTCCATGTTTTACTTCAATAAAATAGGGCAACTGTTTTCAAGTGTGTTTTAAAAAATGGAAAAACAGGAAGCATAAGAGACCAAGATTTTATTCATTGTTTGTTTGTTGTTAGGGAATTCTTTTGGTCTTTGGAGACAGGGTGTAAACTATGATTCTCACTATGTAGCCCTGGCTGGCCTGGGATTCTCTGTGTAACAGACTATAGCCTCAAATTTGCAAAGATCCCCCTGCCTCTGTCTCCCACAGGCTGAGAACACTAACATGAGCTACCATGCTGGGCACCCAACCTACATCCACTATTCACAGACATAATCCTTCTGGAGGAGACCTGGTGTTAATCTGTGTAGGAGTAACTTTCATGCCAGTCCCTGAAGCCAAAATTGAGATTCTACCACAGTAACATTTGCTTTGCTAGGTCCTTTAAGACTGTAAGGCCTTGATGCCCCCCAAGCAGCTGAACTGGCTTGGAGAGTGGGGACAGGTTTGTGCAGATATAATTTGTCATCGTTGTGCAAAGGAATGACCCGCTTGAGTTGGCTGTGTACGCGCATGCGAGCCAAAGCTCAGGTAGCCAGTCAGCTCCAGCTCCTCTCCCCAGGCACACCTCTGAAGTCGGGAGGTATGTTCTAATGCCCCGTGAGCACCTCTGTGGGAGGAAAGACAGGAAGGAACTGGTCACACGTTCCACTAACAAGAGGGGAAAACCTGTGAGTGGGAGTTCCTTTATGGGGGAGGTCACATCCTCATGCACAAAAACATCCCAAAGAGAACCGGTGCTGAGGTTGCACTGAAAAGTGGAGACACCCCAGGGAGGAAGTGGCAAAAAGCAAGCAGGAATCACTCCCCTTTGATCCCACCAGATGCGTCAGGGAAAGTTGGATTTCATTTCGCCCGGGATGGAGACATCTCTCTCCCGTGGGACCACGGGTCAAAGGAAGCCAGCTCACCTCCGCCCTCACCTCAGGTGATGCTGGTGGGCTCCCAGCCCTATTTTCCCAGTCTAGCCAATTTTCCCTCCAGCTTGCCCATCTCCACCCCTTTCCAGGCTGGGACTTTATTAAGGGAGATCGGTTAGGGATCAGTCAGTTGCTGAGAGGAACGTGGAACCTGACGGAAGGACGTGCCGGAGGACAAGGAACTGAGTTCCAGAACGTGGTAAGAACCGGGCACTCCCGGGCTGCGGGTGCCCGCGCGAACAGCCGGTGGGCGGGCCTCCAGGGGTGTTGGGGACTTCGGCAAGGCCGGAGGCTCAAAAGAGACACTCGCGATACCGGGGTACGTGCGCCAAGGCGCCCTCGCCTGCTAAGGCAACAGGAACTCGGCCGGCGGAGCTGCGCAAGGACTGCTGCGGAGTGCAGTGTCCGGACGGAGCTCGGCCACCCGCCGCCCAAGGTTCCCATCACTCCTCGCCGGCGTTCCCGACACCCCGCCCCCAGTACGCGAAGCGAAAGAAAGGGGCGTGGCCTGGGCGGGGCTCACCCCCTTCCGACCCTGATTGGCTGCTTCGGTTGTCCATCCAGAATCTATTTTTGATGGAGGGGGTGCCACCCAGTTTGTCCCAGATCACGTTTGCCACCCACAGCCAACCACTCTTGCCCAAGTCGGCGGGCAAGAAGTGATTGGGGGTGAGCGAGCTCGGTGCCCAGGCCCCATCTGGTCCCCGCCGGCCTAAGGCGGTATATCCTGCCGTCCCGGCCACCTCCCTGCAGTGTAAGCGGAGTTGCGGCCTCGCCGGCACGCCGACACGAAATGTAGTGAGCCGGGTGTCCGGGCTGGACGCTCGCCTCGGCTCGGGGTGTAGCGGGGCACACGCGGGAGCTGGAGGACTGCCGAGGGGGAGGAGTGATGAGAAAAGGGGATAGCCTGCACCTCCCGAGACCTCGGGCCCCTGCTGCCACTCTCCAGGCGCCCTTCCTCCCCAGCGAGGGGCAGGTCAGTGCTGTTGGGTCTGGGGGATGGGCGGCGAAGGCAGGGGCTCTGGCCCGCAGTGGAGTTGCCAAGTGCGAGTTGCGAGGAGACGGTCGAGGCCACCCAGTTACTTCGCCCCTTCCCTGTGGTTGGGGATACCAACGCGGCTCTCTTTTGTCTGCCCCTCTTGGGAGGAGATGGGTGTCCCAGAGCCTGAGGCCCGTCCGTCCGTCCGTCCGTCCGTCCGTCCGTAGTGGCCTTACTGGGGATGTAGGCCAGGGGTTGGCCTTCCAGGAAGACGGGAGAGGGGGGTGTCAGATTTTAGCGTACTCAGAAACTTTGTTGGCATGGGGGCTGTGTCAAGAGTGTTCCTCTCGGCTGACGAGTAAGGACCTTTGAAAACAACAGTGGTGTGTTAAGGGTCTTGGCAAGAGACTGAGTTGATAGAAGACCAATAACTTGGGTCCTCGAGTTTGATTCAGCCATAACCAAACTGATGTTGACTGTGAGTGCTTGGAATATATGCCAGCCTGTTTGCCCTACCTGTGGAAACCCTCTGGAAATTTTTTATTTATGGGAACCATTCTGGTGAAATGCAACAAGTTGGAATCAAGGCCTAGAGATTCGTTTAGGCAAAGGAAAATGAGGGCCTGGACAGCCAGAGACATGATTTAGGAGTGAATGCATATCAGCTCCTTGCACTTGCCTTTGCCTCGTTTTGTTTCTCTTCTCCTCTTACTGATACTTTGGTTTGTTTTTTTAAGAAGTCCACTATATCCAGCTGTCAGCAACCCTAGAAAACAGGGAGAGCCTAGGTTACCAAAATATATAGGTAATAACCAGTAGTCTGACCCTGTTTCTTCAGCAGAGATAACTGCCATGTCCTGTCTGACAGAGGGAGAGAAGTAGAGCCAGAGGTCTGGACCAGAGTCAGCCTTTGAGCTTTCGGTAACACTGTTGACTCTCAAGGGCAGGAGTGGGTAGTAGGCCTCTGGTTCTTGGCCTTGGTCTGGCAGGCTTGCCTCGCTGCCTGGGGAGTGCTCCTGGCATATCCCCCTAGGGCAATTAGAGGTCTGGGGGTGTTTCTCTGAGTGACCAGTCTCCCTGTTTATTTGCACTCTTTCTGTTCTTTGATGCTAAGTCTTCTACAGTGGAGTGGCTGTGCTGGGAGTTTGCAACTGAATTTGTAACTTACCATTAAGGGACTACACTTAAGTAATATTGCATTCTTATTGGTATTCAATGTAACAGCTCCCTGAAGACAGCCCTGCCTACCTTAGGTTGCTCAAGCAATACTTAGCTCTGCTACACCACCTCTTTCTGTGGGGTAATGGGTCGCAAGCTGGGAGGATGCTAGGAATGGAACCTAGAAGTCCTCCAGATGAAGTAGGCAGGACTGAGGCATTTTAATGCAAAAGGAGTAGCAAATAACCAACTCTAGCAGACTGCTGTGTTCTGGGAGATTATCCCAGTAGGAACTGCTTTTTGCTGAATAGTAACATTCTCTTCTCTCTTTCTCTTTTTTTTCTTTCTCCCACATAAGGTGTTCCACACAGATACTTGTGACTTTAAGGACCAGGCGACTAGGAAAGCACAAAATCTTCTTGAGAAGGGAGGAGATCTCTGGAAGAAAGGGGTGAAACAGCAGATACTGCCCTGGGACTAGCTGAGCCTGAGGTGCTGTGAGAAGCAGAAGGCACCCAGCAGAGGGAGTGGGAAGCCCCAGCCTCAGGTTATATTGTGAACAGCTTCTCACAAGAGGCTGCTGAAGCAGACACTCCAGACTCAGGTTGAGCCCTTCCCTTCTGCATGTGCCTGCTCTGAGGAGCTGGCCACTGACCAAAGATTCCCCCCAGCACCACATAGAGCTGCTGGAGGCAGGCACCTGCACGCCTAGTGGAAGCTGCCTCTGCATCTGGTGAGGAGTTTCTTGTTTCCCTCCAGCCCCTGGCAGCATTGCTTCATTGCTTGATGGGGCTGCCTGTTGGTGAATCACTTTTAACAGTGCCTAGTAGGAGCAGAGAGCCGTGGGAAGAGGTCCCGCGGCACCCAAGCTTGGGTTCACCCCAAGACTAAGTTCTTTCCTAAGTTAGAGACAGAGAGAAAAAGAGGGAAAATAAAAGGAAGTTCTCCCCTCCTCTCCTCCCTGCCTGTCATGTCCTCTAAGTCAGAGCCAAAGGACATCTACCAGCTGAACAGTAGTGGCCCTACTCCCTCTCCCTGCTCATCAGATGGCCCTGAGCGAGAGCCCTTGGCTGGGACCTCAGAGTTCCTGGAGGCTGATGGGGCTGGGGTGGAGGTGGTGGTGATTGAGTCTCGAGCCAATGCCAAGGGGATTCGGGAGGAGGACGCCCTGCTGGAGAATGGGAGCCAGAGCAATGAAAGTGACGACATCAGCACAGACCATGGCCCTGCACCACCCTCCCCACTCAAGGAGACCTCCTTTTCCATTGGATTGCAAGTGCTGTTCCCCTTCCTCCTGGCAGGCTTTGGGACTGTGGCAGCTGGCATGGTGCTGGACATTGTGCAGGTAAGACCTGAGTAGGGTGGCTTCTGCTTTTGAGCCCTGACTACCTTTGCCTCCGAGGAAACTGTGAGTCTTGGAACTTCCTTTCCACCTCTCTGTCAGGAGCAGCTGCTGCTTCCTAGAATGCAATTTCCCCTTTGGATCACTTCCTTGGTTTCTTCATTGCTTTCTACAGACGCCTCAAGGAAGTAGCCTGGGGAGGCAGTCAGGGCAGTATTGCCTGACAGAAACACATGTAGTTCTAGAACTCAGACTTAAAAAGGAGGAGAGAGGCAGGACTGTTGCTTGCCATACCTTAGTATTGCTAAGTCCAGTGCAGTAGGAGAGTCTAGATGAGTCTCCTCTTTATACCTTCTTTCCCATTACTTGAGGTTTCAAGGATACCCAAGATAGAAAGCTCTGTTTCAAGTCTCTCCTCTGTTCTCCTGCTGGGCAGGAATTTGCTCAGCTGTCAGGAGGGTCTCAGATGAAGTGAGAAAGCTCTTAAAGACATTCTGTGTTGCTTATCTTCCTGCATCCTTGGCACGGTCTCCTTGGAGAGTAAGGATGGGCACATGCCGAAGCATGATTTGAAACTGCTATAAGTGTGGCCAATGGGGGAAGAAAATGTAATTAGACCTGGGCACAACTGTCTTTCTTTGCTTCTCACCTGTCATGAACCTAATCTTGGCAAATGAGGCACTTCATGGGGATACTGGGTAGAAAGAACAGTAAGCATTGGTAGGACCTGGGAGCTAAGAGCTAGAACAGCGTGTGCTGTGTTTAGTGTAATAACTTACTAAGAACTTCCAGGCTGGAGAAAGAGCCTTATTTCTAGGTTAAAGTGGGTTGTTTTGTGGTTTTGTTTGGTCTGGTTTGTTTTGACACAGGGTATCTCTCTGCAACCCTGGCTGGCCTGGTACTTGCTATGTAGATCAGGCTGTCCTCAAACCCATAATGACCTGCCTGCCTCTGCCTCCCGAGTGCCACCATGCCTGGCCTCAGGTAAAAGTTTCTGAAGCTCAGTGAGGCACACAGAGCTTTCTAATAGTGCTAGGTTTCTCTGAATTATTAAGAATGTATTAAGCAGCAGAATGTATTAAGTTCCTGCTAAGTGCTGACTCTGAGTATTCTGAGAAATACAGAGACAGGAGATTTGATCTGTGACCTTGGGGATCCCCACACCCCCAGTGCCTCACTATACCATCTCCCAAAAGAGCATGAAACTCAGCATCACCTCATCTTTGCACAACTAACACTGCAAGTCATGCACATATAATGATACAGTGACTATCCCAGGGCCTGAAGGTGGTTAGTTCTAGGTGTAGTCATTAGTGTCCATGTAGACCCTGAGTCCCACAGGAGAGCCCTGCACCTTTGGTAGCTAATAAGAATGGCGTTTGTGCCTTGCAAATGTGCCTGGTGTTGCCTCTCCTCTTCCCAACCCTGTTATTGTGAGTATTGTTCATACATGGACATTAGCAAGCCAGCCTAGCGCTTAGGACTCCTCTCCTGGTAGTTGCCTCTCTTCTTGGGGCAGTGAGCAAGGGAAGGAGGAAAAGGAGAAAGAAAATATGAGCCTGGTTTTGCAGTCTGCTGTACCTCCTCCATCCCTTTCCTGTGGCCCTGGTTCTCATTACATTTTTGGGATTCCATCTTGGTACCTCCAAAGGAGGACAGGGCTAGAGATGTAGTGCTTGCCTAGCATGCTCAAAGGCCCTAGCTTTGAGTCCCAGCACTATAAGAAGATAAGGGGTCAGTGTCCAGTGGTAAACATGGTTCTCATACTGTCATAGTTTCTGGATAGTGATGATGGTAGTGGGGCATTTGGGTTGTTTTGCTTTGTTTTGTTTTGGTTTTTAGTAGACATAAGAGGTAGGAAAATGGCATTCATCTCTACTGTGTTGTGGATAGGGAAACTATGGCATAGAGATGCCACTGGCCATCTGTCCCCAAAGCCTGCAGCACTAACCTCTGACCTTCATCATGGCCAGGGTTTGCTTCCCAGCTTATGATTTCTTGAGGAGCCTGCTGTTTTTGTCTTGTCCTGAAGAACAGGGCAGACTAAAATCTGGAACAGTTGGAGTTAGCTTTTGAAGTGAACAAGAACAAAAGTTCTTAGAGAAAGAAGAGAAAGATCCAGGCCTCACCCTCCTACACATCAGGGTTCCAGGGTGGAAACAGCCCTCTGATACCTTGCTTTATGCCCAAGTGACCAAGGGGATCTGGAGCTGCCCAGTGTGTCCACAGAGAGCTGGCATCTGCCCTCAGTGTGATACCTCAGCTCACACACCACAGCTAGTGTCCAGCTGGTATGGATGACAATGACTGGCTTGTCCTTGTACCCCTCCCCCACAGCTGGGCTAGAGCATGGCTGGCAGATGGCTGCAGCAAGAATGTAGGAAGAGAGGCTAAGTACAGGAGAGCAGGGCAGGGGGCCATAGGAAGATTCTTAAGTCTACATCCAGGGAAGTAATGGGGATGTCTGATGTTCCTGAGACAGGAGTCACACCTATATTCTTCCCTCACAAGAGAAAATTACCTGTAGTGAGAAAGTCTAGAAGTACCCAAGATGGGGCCCTCTGGAAGAGGTGACTGCACAGGGTCCCATTCACTCAGAGACCCAGGAATCGATGTGAACTTCCTTGGCCCAAAACTCCCACAGCAGCTAAAGATTGGGGCTTTCCTGGAAGACCCTTTCTGTCTCTTATTTGCCCTCTTACTCTGCTCCTCATGTGCAGTACCCTCTGCAGTGGAATAAGGAGCAGGGTACTTTGCAGAACAGTCTGTTCTGACTTACCAATGGAGCCAGAAAAGTTCCTGCAGCATTTAGGAGGAAAACAGGCATGGGTCCGGAAAGGGAATGGGAGCTTCCTGGTACCCATGCTTCATGGCCCTCTCCCATTTCAGTCCTGGGCTCCTGCAGGGTGTCACACACTTTCCATCAGCCTTTGTGAGAAATGGCTAGAGGTGCTATATGACCTCTACTGGAAGTCTCAGCTAGGTTAGGGCAAGGGGATTCTAAGTCCTTATTTTAACCTACCCCATCTTTTTTTAAATACATTTTAATATTTTTTATTATTTTATGTGCATGAGTGTATTGCCTGCATTTATATAAGTGCACCCATGTTGTGCAATGTCTGCAGAGGCTAGAAGGTGTCGGATTCCCCTGGAACTGGAGTTATAGATGGTTGTTAACCACCATGTGGGTGCTGGGAACTGAACTTGGGTCCTCTTCAAGAGCAGCCAGTGCTCTTAACTGCTCAGCCATCTCTCTAGCCCCTTTACCCACCCCATCTTATCAGGATGAAAGTCGATGGCAGCACAGCCTTGGGAAAGTAGTGTGGGAAAGTAGCAGAACTTTCAGCTGGTCTGCCCTGAGGTCCTGGAGCTCCTGGGCAGGATGCTCAGATCCTGTCTCCCTTGACTACCCTTCTGCCTTTCTCTGTCTCCTGCATGTCAGGGCTGTTTCCTTTTCTCAAGCTGTGTACAGCTCTGTACCTGCAGGTATTGCCCTGAGGCTCTTCTGTTTGAATACCTCCAACATGCTTCTCAGACTAGCCTCTGTCACATGGAGGTTGGGCTCACTATGATACAGCCTGGTTACCTGAAGGGTCCTTGGGCAGCCTAGTACCTGGCACTTGAATAGGGGTAGGGGTCATCTTTTACCAGCCCTGACTTAATTTCTTACACTAGCCTTCTGAAGCAAAAGGCTCTACCAGATGAGGTTGGGGGGTCGAAGAGCAGGTTGGATGGCCAAGAAAGAGGTCACAGCAGGATCTCTGAGCTGCGAGGCTTAGGGCATTTGTTCTGGGTCAGGGTCAGTTTTGAGTTGGAGGTAGCTGTCTCATCCCTTACTTCCAGAATATCAGTAACTGAGGAGAGAGATCAAAGAGAAGAGGGGCTGAGTTTCTGAGAAGCTCTAAAAATCCAGGGGTGCTCCTCCCACCCCTAAGCCAGGCAGTTTTCTGGACCCTTTTCCATCCCCAGTGGTACAGGACGGTGTGGGTGGTAGCTTGACTAGGCCGACTAGTTTGATTTTAGGGGCAGACACTCCCAGCCATGATGGGCCTGAAGGAGGCCAAAGGAGGAAGAAGAACCACTCTTAGTTACCCTGCTCTATCCTCAACTCCTAACCTCAGGGTCCCCCTGCTGTGTGTGTATGCAGGTCACAGCCTCCCTGCCCAAACTGAATCTTTGAGAGGGTTTTGTGAAGGAAAATAAATGTGAAGGAATTGGTTCTTCTGACCCAACTACCAGCTTAGGGCTTCAGTGGGCCAAAGATTAGGTGGTGTGAATTCCAGGCTGTGTTCTGTATAGGTTGGGAAGACATGGAACTGTTATTGTAACTGATCCATTTCCTTTCCCATCTGTCTTATCCTATCCCTCCTAAAACCCCACAACTTCCAGGTCCTCTTGTAGTTAAAAGCAGAGGGTACGTATGAATTTGGGGTGCTTATGGTAGCAGCCAGAGGGGTTAGCTAAACTTCATATGTTCTTATTTTTCTTTTACTGTTTTCAATTTTTTTAAAATTTATGTGTATGTTACATGTGCCTGTGTGAGTTTATGTACAACATGTATGTGTGGGTGCCCACAGAGGCCAGAGGACATCAGATCTGGAACAGGGGTTACTAGTGGCTGTGAGCCACCTGATGAGGGAGGGGTGGGAGCTGAACCTGGATCCTCTTAAGAGCTGAGCCATCTCTCCACTTCTCTCCCTCCTTTTTTTGTTTTTGTGTCTTCCAGATAGGGTCTCCCTGTAGCCTCAACTGACCTGAAACTCCCAAGTGCTGGGATTAAAGGTGTGCAACACCATGCCTGTCTTCCTTCCCCCCTTTTTAAGACAAGATCTTGTTGCCATGTAGCCCAGGTTGGCCTCCAACTCTTAATCCTGCCTCAGCTTCCTGAATGCCAGAATTAAAAAGGGTATGCCACACCCAACCACATTCTTTTCTCCCATACACTTTGAGTGCTTCTTTCTGGGTCTTTTCTCTTTGCTGGCATGTACCCATCACCTTAAAAAGGAGAGCTGAGCTTTCAGAGAGCTAGCAGCTTGGGAGCATGTGGGCAGATGTTTGGGGTGAGGATAGGATGTGGGATTTGTGTTCTGAGAGGAGCTCCAAAAGCCTACAGTCAGCACACTTGTTAACAGAGGGAGAGGAGGAGGGAATTTTTCCCTCTCTGGAACTGCTTATCCAGTTTTAGAGACATAAGCCTAGTTGGGCCTGGGCAAAAGAGAGCTGGATAGCCAGGGTTGTATGTCACAGCCCTGTTAAAGAGTAATAGTCCCAGGGCTCATGAGGCAGTCCTGGGGGCTGTCTCACAGGGAAGACTCTACCTTCCTCACAGGGGAGAAGAAATTCACCTCCCCCAGTATTTGGAAGGGGCTGGCTCTTCCTGTGACTGCCTGAAAGGCGGGAAACTGGTGTAGAGTTGGGAGCACCTCCTCCCCTTCAGGAGTCCTCAGAGAATCTAGGTCCCTTAGGAGACTCCAAAAAGAATCCTAGGTCCAGGAAGTCAGACAAGGGTCTGCTCTAGCCCTGATGAAATGACTCTTGTATCAGTCCTGTTGACAACACCCTCCTCCTCCTCCTCCCACACACACCAAGAACATTAATGGAAAGGCAAGGTTCTTACCTTATAGAACCTCCTAGTGTCCACCCTTCTCTGGGTCCTGGCCCTGACCCCAGCCCCTTGGATAGCCATGCTCATTTTGCTATTTGGTTTTTTGAGATAAGGTCTCTCTATGTCACTCAAGCTGTCTTCAAACTCAGAATCCTCCTGCCTCAGCCTCTGAATACTGGGATTATAGACACACCAACCTGGGTTGGCTGGTTGTTTTTAGTGCAGAAAAAAAAAAAAATCACATGAGACTTATAACCATTTTTAAGTGTATTAAATGTATTCACAGTTCCCAGGAATGCACAGCAGGTGTCTAGGACCTTTCATTTTCCCCAGCTTAAACTCTGTACCCATGAAACACTGACTTTCTTTCTCTAGGCCCTCAGCCCCCAGCAGCTACCACTCTAGTTTTTGTTTATATAAATGTGATGACTACTTCAGATAGCTCACAAGTGGAATTGTACTAGCTTGGTTGGTATAATGTCTTCAAAGTTCATCCATATTATGCATGTAACAGGATTTCTTTAAGGCTAAGTAGTACTCCAGTATTGATACATCGTGTATTATTGGTCCATTCAGCAGTTGACACTTGGGTTGCTTCCACCTCTTGGCTATAATGAATAAGTGAAGCTGTGAAGATGAATGCACAGCTATTTCTGCAAGACCCTGCTTTCAATGATTTTGGATGAGTACTCAGTATTCAGGGCTAAGTACTCAGGAGCAATACTAGGATTGCTAGATCATATGTCCATTTTACGTACTCATTTATTTGTTTATTTATTCATTGTGTGTATGTGATGTTTACATATATATGTGTTCATGGGGGTATTGCACATATGCATGCAGGTGCACATGCACATGTAGGCCAGAGGTCGACAAGGGATTCCTTACTCTCCCATCTTACTCTCAGTGAACCTGGAGCTTACTGATTGACTGTACTAAGTGACTACTGAGCTCCACGGATCTGCCTGTCTCTGCACACTCCATGCTGGGGTTACAGATGTATGCTGCTATGTATGTGGATGCTAGGGGGTCAAACTCAGGTACTCATGCCTACACAGTAAGCACTTTACTGACTGAGCATCTCCCCAGCTTATTTAATTATTATGGGGGCAGAATCTTACTATTTAGACTAGATTGACCTTGAACTTTCAGCAATGCCTGTGTCCCCCCAAGTGTTGAAATTGCAGCTTATTTTTTATTTAAGGAACTGCCATACTGTTTTTCATAATAATCAACTTTTACAATTCTACAAATAATGTACAAGTGTTCCAGTCTCCACACCCCTATCAACACTTGGTATTTTTTTTTTATTCCATTAGCCATCTTAACAGGTGTGAGGTGAGGTGATACCTCACTATGGTTTTGATTTGCAGCCTTCCTCATTCTTGGTCTTTTTGAGACAGGGTCTCTCTGTAGCCACAGCTGGCCTAGAACTCATTATGTAGACAAGCTGGCCTTGATCTCACAGAGATCCACCTGCCTCTGCCTCCCAAGTACTGAGATTAAAGCATGCATCACCATTTTAATAGAGCAACAGGGCTGGACTTGCCATTAGAGACTCTCTCATCTGGCCCCTGAACCAAACACTTGAGGAATTTGAGGCTTTTGTAACTTGTACAAGGTCCCCAGCTGGTCATTGTACAGAAACATGCTGGGGAGACAGCATGAGATCCTCTCCTCCCTGCATCTCTTGTAGGAGGCCAAGACTTTCAGCCCAGTGTTCTTGCCCATCGTCTGCAGATACCTAATCCAGCCTGCATACATCTAACCTGCATACCTCTACCTGCTGCCTGATTCACCCCCTTCTCCAACCTATAGGTTTTCCATTCTTAAAACAAATACAGAAAACTGCATTGCCCTTTAGAGCCAGGAAGGGAAACATAATCCCAGCTTCTACTGCAAATCAGTTTCAATTAGACTAAATAGCTAGCTCTGCTTCCTACACTAATTAGTGTAATACATAATATTTTCTGAACTTGCAAAGCAGAAACAAACCCCCCCCCCCGTTGGCTTGTTGGAAAGACTAAATGAGAAGATGCATGAAAGAAGTTGGTAGGAGCCGGGTGTGGTAGTACACTCTTTTGATCTCAGCACTCGGAGGCAGAGGCAGGCGGATCTCTGTTGAGTTCAGGGCCAGCCTGGTCTACATAGTGAGTTCCAGGCCAATTGGGGCTACAGGGAGACCCTTTCTCAAAAAAACCAAAAAAAAAAAAAAAGTTGGTAGGAAAGCCAGGACTGATTGTCTCGGAACTAGAACCCGTCATACTCCCAGGCCATACTACAGGGGTATACTTGCTTGTGCTGAGGGTAAGGGAGTGTAGCATGAAATAAAAATTTCCCTGAAAACCAGTATGGGGAGAGCACAGTCTGAATTCAGAGCCTGCTTAAGAGAGTCACTGTGGCTGAGGCCCAAAGCCCTTGGAGAATGAAACCAAACAAATGCTCTAATCACCCCAGCCCCATCCCTGTGGAGCCCAGCTCTCCACAGCTGAGACAACACCACCCAAGGTTGAGGCCACAGAGAAAATGAACAAAAGGCAAAGGGCTACAGAGTGCTATTTGAGAGGGTATCACAAAAGAGTTCTGGAGCAAAAGCCACCAACATGGAGGCCTCACTACCCTTTTCTGTCTTTAGGAAAACATACAGAAGAGGCGGAGTCAGGTCAGAGTCTCCCCTGTTCTTGGGGCAAGTGGTGGGGGTAGTAGGGCTGTATTTTAGAACTCATGGGCTTACTCTACCTCTAGGCTTCTTGGTTAGGACCCTCATATGCTCTCTCCTGTTTATCCTGTTCCTGTCTGCTGACCACACACTCTGCCCAGCCTCAACTCCTGTCCTTTGGGGCACTGAAATTCCTGGGTTCTGTTTTCATCTAGCACTGGGAGGTCTTCCAGAAGGTGACGGAAGTCTTCATCCTGGTTCCTGCGCTGCTTGGGCTCAAAGGAAACCTGGAAATGACCCTGGCATCGAGGCTGTCCACTGCAGTGAGTGTCCTAGCTTGGGGGAGGAGGGGAGGGGCACAAGAAAGTGGAGACTAGGAGGTGGCCATGTAACTGCTTAGGAGAGGGGAGGAAAGGGCAGGCCTGGCAGGCCAGGTGAAGGGAGATTCCAGACTGGGTGTCCTGTTCCTGGGCAGGGGATCCCTGCCCATAGTGGTTCCCAGGCTCCAATTCTGGATGTCCCAGCCATCCCTGGATGCCTGCCCCACTCCCTGCTTTGCAACCTGCCTCGTGACTGTTTGTGCAGCTTTGACAGGCAGGCACCATGCTGGTCCCTCCAGCTGCACAGGTGGGGGCCTCGTCTGATCTCTGGCCCTACTCCACAGCTGGACAGGAGCAGAGCCAGGCCCTCTGCACGCCCCTCCCAGCTGCCTCCTTTCCCCATGGTAGCCTGTTCTTCAAGAGGATAGATACTTCCACCTCCCAACAACCATTCAGTGACTGAGCCTAATAGAGGGGCTGGAACAAGAAGCAAGAGGTGATAAGATTCAGGGGGCCAAGCATGTTCCTGTATGGCCAAGAGTCTGGAGAAGATGGCACAGAAGACAGCCAGCCTAACCCATCTCAATGCTTTCTTTCATTCTCTTGGCTGGTGTTACTCCTTCCCAAATACTGGCAGCCTCCACCCTGGGCCAGACACTGACCTTGCTTTCTCTAAGAGAACAAGCTGCTTCAGAGCCAGGGCAGGGTCATGCTGACCCATGTGGGAGAGGGCTACCCAGTTCAACAAGACAGGGTTGAGCCTGCTTCAGCTTCCCTCAGATGCTGGGATGCAGCTTGCTGCCTTGGGAACCTCCTTCAGCCACCCTGCAGGAGTTAATTCTTTTTTTTTTTTTCCAAAGATTTATTATTTTGTGTGTATGGTGGGGGGGGGGGGTGAGTATGTGAACAACATGCATGCAAGTACCCATGGAAGCCAGAAGATGGCATCAGAAGAGGGTGTCAGAGCCCCTGGAACTGGAGCTACAGTTGTGAGCCACCCACATTGGGTGCTGGATATTGAACCTGGGTCCTCTGCAAGAGTAGCAAATGTTCTTAAACTCTGAGGCATCTCTCCAGCTCTAGGAGCTGACTCTGGTCCTTCCTTCACACCCAAACCTTCTGATCCTACTTTATTTTTCTAGGACTTTAATGTTATAATCCCAAGGTCTTAAACCTCATGTACTACTTTGTTGTATTCAGTCTAACAGATGGAGCCCCGGGTTCCGTGCAGCCTGGGAGCTCCAGTACCTTGCCCTCCCTCTTCCAGGCTAACATTGGACAAATGGACACACCCAAGGAGCTCTGGCGAATGATCACAGGGAATATGGCCCTCATCCAGGTAAGAGTTGGGACCAGAGAGGAATCCCTGAAAGGCTCAGGTCAGCCCCACTGACTCCTGAGTGGCTCTCCAGTATCCTGCAAAGTAGGCTAGGAGGTGACCAGTTTACTCAGGAAAATGGCCAAGATAGGAAGAGCTCCAGCAGCTCCCATGCTGCATGTCTAGGCTCCAGCTGGTACTAGAGCCTTCAAACCCCAGCAATCCATGCAGTAGAATCTTTAGATGCATGAGTGCTATGGTATCCTCTACCACTGTTGTCCCATCTCCCCAGGAGGCCACACAGATTCCATACTGATCCACCCCCTTGAGTCTCAGGTCTTGGCAACCCTGAAGTCTCTGGATTGTTGACCCTCGCCCCATCCCTAGAGCAATTCCCAAGCAGCAAGTAACAGGTCCTAGGTTATGCAGGGTGACTGCCCTATACTGGTATTGAGTAAAACTAAATAAAGACATCTTTCCAACCTACAAGAACTATACAGTCCAGCCTGCCTGCTGGGCCAGGAAGAGTCCCCTGGGTGCTCAGTGACCTCATCTAAGAAACTGCTCCAGGCTCTCCACATCACCACAACTCTCCCCAGGTGCAGGCCACAGTGGTGGGCTTCCTAGCATCCATTGCAGCCGTGGTCTTTGGCTGGATTCCTGATGGCCATTTTAGTATCCCGCATGCCTTCCTGTTGTGTGCCAGCAGTGTAGCCACAGCCTTCATTGCCTCCTTGGTACTGGGTAAGGAAGGGGAGGGGACACAGGGGTGAGGAGGTTGCTCCCAAGGTGTTGACTCTTCCTGGAACCTCTGCTCTCTTGTTTGTTAATACCCCTTTTCTCTTCTCACCCTATCTGGCCCACCTCCCCTTCTTCACCAGGTATGATTATGATTGGAGTCATCATTGGCTCTCGAAAGATTGGGATCAACCCAGACAACGTGGCCACACCCATTGCTGCCAGCCTGGGAGACCTCATCACCTTGGCACTCCTCTCGGGCATCAGCTGGGGACTCTACCTGGAACTGAGTAATTCTGAAGCCACTAAGAATGGCTCTGGTGGACTCTGGGTGGGATTGGGAGAGGTGGAGACCATTTTGCAAGCTACAAGGATTTTTCTTACCTGAAAAGCTTGTCAAAACTCCTGATCTTTGGGAGGCGAGGCTAGGCACTGACCTCAGTTCCTGCAGGCAGTAGCAGAGGGAAGAGTGTCAGGAACACATTCCTGCTTGGTCCTGTGGATTGTACTTCCCTTGGAGGGACGAAATGTGGAAAGGAACTGAAGACTAGAATCTGTGTGCAAACTGAAGAAGGGGATGGGAGGTAGTGATTTCTGGGATCAGACCAAGAGATGTAGTCTCTGCCCCTAATAAGTTTACTGCATGAGCTGGACATGATTGTGCACACCTGTGATCCCAGCTAAAGGCTAAAGCAGGACTGTAGGTATAAGCCAACTTGGGCTACACAGCAAGACCCTCTCTCAAAACAAAAACAAGTTAGTGTCTGAGTAGTTCTCTGCCTTGGGTTATCCCCTACAAGATGGACAAAGCTTGCCTCACCTACGTCCTAAGTGCAGTGAAGCTCAGATGAGGTGTTATGTTTCCGGGCATTTTGAGTAGAATTCCTGTTGATCTGTTGGTCTCTTGGGACATGTGCATGCTAAGCTGGGCGCTGGGGCCATCGTACTCATCTCTCTCTGGTCTGTCCTCTCAGAGCACTGGAGATACATCTACCCCCTGGTGTGTGCCTTCTTTGTGGCCCTGTTGCCTATCTGGGTGGTGTTGGCCCGACGGAGCCCAGCCACAAAGGAAGTGTTATACTCAGGCTGGGAACCTGTCATCATTGCCATGGCCATCAGCAGGTAGGCTGAGGCTCCAAGTCCATGCCCCTGCCCCACTCCTACCTTGCCATAAACTCCACTTGAGACCCTGGAGAAGGGAATATGGGGAAAACCCTGAAAATACATGAACAGTGACAGTTACATGTCCTTCAGTTGGAAATGACAAGAACTATCTGAATTGAGTTTCATTCCAAAGCAGAATATATTGACCCCAGGAACAAAAAAAAATACAGCTACATTCAGGGGTACATACAGTATCATCGGCCCAGGACTCCACCTCTATGCTTTTCTCTGTGATGGCCAACACGCTAGGTTTTTACTTTTCTGACTTCCCAATTCCAGTGGAAGGAGAGAGATTCTTTCCTCATTGAAGCATTCTTACCTGAAGCACAGTGACTGAGTTTGAGAGTGCTAGTTCCCTTGGGAAGGAGCCCAGGGCTGTTACCAGAAAGAAAAATTAAGTACAGAGCAGGCAGGTGACAGAGGTCCTCACAGGAAGGTGGCTCGGCTGACAGACAGTTACTCCTTTAGCCAATGTGCAGGGTAGGACAGCAGGCAGCTGCCTGACTCAATGCCACTAGCTGACCCAGGGTCACTGGGCCAAGTCAGGAGATTATTAGCAACAGGTGGTTCAAACAAGGAACATGAAGACTGAAAGAAGAGCCTCTTGAGAGCCTCTTTGCTTCTCTTTGTCCCCAAGTTTAGGTGGGCCTGTGCCTCTCATCCCAGGGACCAGAGAAGTGTCCTTCAATCATCTTTCTGTCATTTTTGTCTTTGTGTCTCTGTAGCGTGGGAGGCCTCATCTTGGACAAGACTGTCTCAGACCCCAACTTTGCAGGAATGGCTGTCTTCACACCTGTGATTAATGGTGAGGCCTTAGCCTCAGCTGCTAGGGGGATGAAAAGGGGCAGAGAAAGAGGATGAAGGGGGTTGGCCTCTATGTTACCCAGGGTTCCAGAAGGCAAGAGAATCTAGCTCGGAAAGGTCAAGACTTTAATGAAGGTGAAAGTGGGGTAAAAAGACCAATAAGGGGTGATGAGGCCCGCAGAGATTAACAGCATATAAGTTTCTAGCCTAAAGGGTCAAAGGAACCCAGAAACTGGCTTCTGGAAGTCCAGTTAGAAGTCCTCTCTACCCTCTGCAAGGGTAAGCCCCTGCCACAAAGGATCCAGAAAGAAACATCAGAGCCTGCCCTTTGCTCACCTTCTGGTGCATCCCACTGCATAAGCTCAAGTAGAAGCATCCAGCAAGGGAGACTGGTCAGCAGCCAATACAGTCTACCTCCCAGGCTCAAGGAAAGGCCGAAAAGTGAAAGGTATAGGTTGTGGCATAAAGACAAACAGTAACCAGCAAGTTCCTGGCAGCAGAACCAGATTCGATCTAAAAGTCAAATCTATTACCGGAAACTGGTTATTGAATGAGTGTATGAGCACCAGTGTCTGGGCCAGCTCTGGAGAGGGCTGAGGCAAGCAGGCTTCTTTCCCTGTTGTGTAGGTATACATGCTGTATGGGTACAGCAGTCAGGATGGGGAGCTGCAGAGCTTCCTGTATCCCTGAGCCACTCCAAGGATGCATGAAACTGTAATATCTCCATAAGGGAAGATGAGGGAGCTTAAAAGAGTCCCTGGGTCTTGGGGTTGAGGATTTAGCTCAGTGGTAGAGTGCTTGCCTAGCAAGCACAAGGCCCTGGGTGCAGTCCTTAGCTCCGGGAAAAAAAAAGTTGCTGGAAGCAGGGATGTATTTATCTTCTTAGTGTTTCTTCTTTTGGTATCTGGGGGCTAGATGATGTTTACACAGACCCTAAATGAAGACAGAAGACAAATGCCCCTACAGATAAACTACAAGAACAATATGATGATTTCCTCCCACTCCTCCCTGCCTCTGAATCTGAGTCCTGTGTGTCTCTGTAGGTGTTGGGGGCAATCTGGTGGCTGTGCAGGCCAGCCGCATCTCCACCTTCCTCCATATGAATGGCATGCCAGGGGAGAACTCTGAGCCAGTTCCTCGCCGCTGCCCCAGTCCATGCACCACCTTCTTCAGCCCTGGTAACCAGAGTCTCAGCCTCCCAGGTCCATTCCCTACTTGGAGGGAGGGGGTCTTCAGACATGGACTTCACTAGGCAACTGGGGCCTAGGTCCAGGGTTATCCTCTGCTGGGCTGTGCCTGCTGTTCTGAAGAACAAACCCAGATCAAAGTCATCTTTTCCCAAAACTCCCTGGAGAAATAGTCAGCTGTCTATTACCCTAGCATACAGTGTGGGCCCTCTTGTGGCCTTCTGGGGCCAATGCTTCTCTCTCTGTCCTCTCTTCTCTGATCGCAGATGTGAACTCACGCTCAGCTTGGGTCCTCTTCCTCCTCGTGGTCCCAGGACACCTTGTGTTTCTCTACACCATCAGCTGCATGCAGGGTGGCCACACCACCCTCACTCTCATCTTCATCATCTTCTACATGACAGCTGCACTACTCCAGGTATGGCCCAGTGGGAGCAGGGGACCAGGAAGACCCAGATGGAATAAGAGACCCAGCCTTGGCTCCATCAGACACCCTGTCACTTCTGTGTCTGAATAGCCAGCATCAAATGGCATCAAAACCAGTGTGCAAGATTAACCTATCTTTGACCATCCAGCTTTGCTAGTAATACTAGCAAATGCTGTGATACCTTCTCCCTATGTATTACTACATCTTACATAGCCAGCCCCCTACTGATAAGTACTTATCCCTCCAACTCCTACCCTCAATCCAGTCTCTAGAAAAAGTTGTGTTAGGAATTGGCAAGGGCTAGGCTGAGAATCATATGCTGTTTCCCAGCAGCAGTTATCTAAATCACTGTGCTCCCTTGCAAGGGTGATTAAGTGCACTGCCTGATGGGAAGGGGAGGTCTGTACATGCCAAAGGTCTATAGTGGATGTTTCAGTTCATCGCTTGGCCTAGGTTCCAGTACCCATTATGAATAGCCTGGGGTCCATTTTACCTCTGCTTCTTCTCTATATCTGGGGAGAAGCAAAGTGTGACACTTGCTCCCTGTAAAGTTCCTCCAGATCCCTTTGCCTCCTATCCCTGCGCTATTCAAGAGACGAGAAGTGAAGACAATTGCTGTTACTCCATCCTGGGGCTTGTCCTAAAGCCCTCTAGCCACACCCTTTTTTTTTTTTTTTTTTTTTTTTTTTTTTAGAGACCAGCTTGGAGACCCGGCGGGCAGCGATTGAGCGGACCGCTGGGGTCCAACAGGCGCCCGCCCCACCCAAGCTGCGGCCGCGCGGGAGGAAGCGCGCCACGGCCGGGTGCAGAGTTTCCTTTTCTGCCTCCTCGTCAGAACCGCTTCGGCCGGCGAAGGTGGGAATGCCTAACCTCAGACTGAAGAGAACCCGGAGCCAGAGGGGCTAAAATTCAGCGCCTTCCCGCGTCCGGAGCTCGCTAGCCATGGGCAGCCGAGATCACCTGTTCAAGGTGCTGGTGGTGGGGGACGCCGCGGTGGGCAAGACGTCACTGGTTCAGCGGTATTCCCAGGACAGCTTCAGCAAGCACTACAAGTCCACCGTGGGAGGTGAGCGCGGGCAGGGGTGCTGGGCGCGGGGCCGGGTGCTGGGTTCGCCGGCCTCGCGGCGGGGGTGGGCGAAATGCTGGCCTCAAACTCACAAATACCACCTGCCTCTGCCTCCCAAGTGCACCTGGGATTAAAGGTGTGTGCTACCATGCCCAGCTTCTTCTGCAGCTGCTGGAAAGGATGTGAAGTTACAAGGAGGCTGGACTTCACCCAGGGCCAAGGCCACTGGAGTGTAAGGAAGCTGTGTGCAGAACGAAGGGAAAGTGAAGGGTTCTAAAATAGTAAACCCTGGCTTCCTTAGAGACAAGACATGAGAGCAACCAAGAGGCCTGAAAATAGGGATCAGTTCTGGCTTCTGTCTACCTTAAGTCCTGCATCTGAGTCCCTTAAGGCAGAGTTTTCATACCACATTATTTGCAAAGTACAGTCATGAATAAAACCACCTGATGACCATATTGGGGTTAACTGTTAAAAAACATCTCATTCTCACAGAGCCATAGTCATTTAATGGGAATCCCAAATTAGGCACTGTCAGGTGTAGGCTTGCTCCACCACAGTGTTCTATCTAGATCAAGTACATCTCCCATTTCAGTGTGCATGTGAATCCTCTTAAAATGCACACTCTGGTTCAGGAGGTCAGTGTTAGGCCTCATACTGTGCATTTTTGATGTGTTCCAAGCTATAATTGATATGACTGGGCTCGGTAGCAAGATTCTGATCTTGATTATTCTCAGTACTCTATAAAAGGCAAGGGTGCAGTAAATCAAAGTAGCTGATAATCTAAAATGTGTTTTTAATTGCTATGCTTTAGCTGACTTGTTCATAATTCTATTTGCTAGAACTAATGTTAACATAAACTTTGAGCTCACAGCAGCACAATGGAAAGGGTCAAGAGAGCGCAGCTTCAGACAGTCAACTACCACCACACAACAGTGCTAGCAGCAGCCTCAAACACTATCTCTTTACTATACCCAGAGAAGAAAAAAGCCTTGTAGGAGAAGCTGGTTCTAACTGCCATACCCACCAGGTTCCTGGAGAAACTAACATGGCAGAATTGCTGTGAGTCTAAAATGAGCTGACCCAGAATTTAAGGCAAGAGCAGAATTTCAGGGGGGTGGGGGGTAGGTTAGAAAGCCCCTGGTTTGGTAGACTGGGAGAGAATGCAGAGCTGAGTTGACTGGCCCCAAGGAATCCTGACATCTTTCAAACGTGCAGTAGAAGAACATAGAGGGGTTGCCACCATGGAAGGTGAGCGGTCCATGCACAGGGGTTGTGGCTGACCAAGCCTTGTGATAAATTGTACTGGTACAATCATGTGGTCTCTGGCTCCCCCTACAGAGAGAGGATGGGTACAGGCAGGACCCTTCTGTCTCTCCAGGTGCTGATTCTCCTGTACATCGCAGACTGGATGGTGCACTGGATGTGGGGTCGGGGCCTGGACCCAGACAACTTCTCCATCCCATACTTGACCGCTCTGGGGGACCTGCTTGGCACTGGGCTCCTGGCACTCAGCTTCCATGTCCTCTGGCTCATTGGGGACAGAGACACAGATGTCGGGGATTAGCTTAGCCATTCAGCCTTTTCCCCATCCCTCTGCACTTTCTATTTGGATTTTTTTTTCTTTTGTTCTACCCTACCCACTCCACACTCCCACATCTTTCTGGGACTTCACTTTGATACCAAATTCTCATTATTTTCAATGGGAATTTTTATACATTGAGCCAAGTTTGAATAGCAAAAATTCAGGAAGGACAGATGGACTGAAATAAGCAGTACACGTAGACTTTTGAGACAATCACCAAGTGCAATTCTATTGTGGGTGCCTCCAAATGAGGTGGCTTGGGACACGGGTGTTCTGTCTGGTATCTGGGGACCTATGGATTAGCTTTAGTAACCTCAGCCATGGCCCCTAATGAGAAATTCTTTGTAAATGGGCTTTGGGTTGTTTGATTTGGTTAAACAGAGGGATGAGAGATAGACATTCCCACACATACACATATTTTTATAGAAATGGACTGACTTCAGAGCACTGAGCAGGAGATTGTTACTTCAGACTCCTTATAATCACAGCCCTATTCTAGGCCAACCAGCACTCAGGTGAGCTGACTGTTCCATCTGTGTATATGCACTTTGCCCAACTACCAGATTGTTTTCTAGCTGAATGGGTGGTGGCCTAGGCTCATGAAGGATCCATGTCATCCACAGGTTTCTGAAGGTCCACATTCCCACCTCCCACCCTCACCCTGGGCCAGAGAACCAAGTATCTCTGTTCAAGCCTTCTCTCTAATTGTCTCCAAGCACTCCATTCCCCACAGCTTGCCAGGTGGGCTTCTGAGATTAGGGACAGGACAAGGGTATATGGAGAATGACCTGGAGATTGAGGCAGCTGGGGTGTGTGTCTTGCTGCTGTTTGTCATGAGAACATAACCACATAGTCCACCTTGGCCTCTGTCACTTCCTAAAAGTATTCATTCTGTTGTGCTGCGGAGGCCAGTTGGCCTCTCTCTTACTCCTGTCCACAGATGGTCATCATCCATTCGCTCCTTCAGCAATTTGCAGCCTCCCCGGATGAGCTCTTCTGCAACATGATCTGAGATTCTCATTGAGGTATTCATAGTGTGCCTACTATGTTAGGTACTGTGCCAGGCATTCATGAGCCAGTGGTAAGGGGATCACAGCTCTAATCTTACTTCATTCCCTAGGTTACAGAAGCCATGTGCAAGTTCCCTTATTGTAGGTGTTTGTGCCTACTTCATCAAGGCACGTTCTGCCTTGTCCTCCTTTTAGACCACAACTCCACAATGCTGGCCAGCCCAAGTTGCCAGCTCCACTGCTCAACCAGTGCTTATGTCCTATAAAACACCCCTCACCAGGGGCGGTGGTGCACACCTTTAACCCCAGCACTCAGAAGGTGGAGGCAGGCAGATCTCTGAGTTTTAAGCCAGCCTGGTCTACATAGCAGTTTCAGGCCAGCTAGAGCTGTCCAAAAAAAAAAAAAAAAAACTTTCCTCTCCTTCATTCCCTGAGGTTTTCATTCATGAGGTTTTAGAACTAGCTGGACATCAATTGGCTGTTTCAACATCTGTCTGCCTTGCACAAACTTTGAAGAAAACTATATTCTCTTCCCCCACACATTGCTCCAAATAGTTCAGCAAAGGTCAGGAGCTTATAAACACTGTAGCCTAAAGGGCCAGCCTCCAAGAAAGGCTTAAGCAGTGGCTCTGTTTATACTAATAGCATGCCTAGACTTCCAGAGATTTTTTACTCCCTCATTTCCTCCCAGGCCACCTAAAATCATAGAACCTTGGAAATGGAAGGTGTCATAGAAGTTACCTAGTTGAAGTTGTGTCCAGCAGATTAATACCAGTTTAGCCTTGTTTCTGTTCTTCCCTTTTGCCTCCTTTCATCTTTCCCTCCACCTCAACATACTTGCACACAGACTTTTGTACAGGCATCAAACTCTGAAACAGCCCCTGTGAGCCCCAGCCATTTACCCTGTCCTAATTTCTGGAGTTGGATCAGGCTGTCTGGAAACTGAATTATCCTTCTTCCTTTGCCTCAAAAACAAAGATAGGCACACCCGAGTCTCAGCATGTGTGAGCAGAGGAAGACCGGAGCGAGAGGGAAGGAAAATGAAGTGGACTTCAATAGAAGATTCATTTCTTTCCCCCAATTGCACCATTGCATGTACTTTTGGCCTGACTGCAAGAAACAAAATTGGTTTACTCTCCTATCCTTCAAAAGTTAAAGAACTGTGTCTTAAGACAATTATTTATAGTTACTATAACTGAATTGACAAATGTCAACTTAACTGATAAATTATATTTGGTAAAATAAAAAGGAAGTTTATTTCAGTGGTTGGTATTTTCTCATCAAAAAGCACCTTCAGCCATTTTCTTAGACCCACTCTGTAGTCCTTCAAGTGGGAAGGGGGCAACATGTGACAAGCAAGGAACCATCTCTTCAATACAGAGATTATGATACAAACACACATTGAGAAGTGGTGCTCTGGGACAGGTTTCAGAATTGGAATGCAGTGTCCTTGTGTTCCAGGGGACCAGACTGTGGTCTCCATGCATTAACTCAGTCTTTTTATGTGCATTAATGGTATGAGCATCTATGGATTAGGATTTCTTCCTTGAAGAGGTTTATAGCTGAGTTGTAGCAAAGCAAAATGCTATTACTAGTCAGGTGTGGTAGCACATGCCTTTAATCCCAGCACTCGAGAGACAGAGGCAGGTGGACCTCTGTCAGTTCAAGGCCAGCTGGGGCTACAGGGAGATCTTGTCTCCCCACCACCCCAAAAAAGAAAAATGCTACTGCCTTGAGTATTTACTATGTGCCTTCACTGTGCTAAATGCTATAAGCCTTTAGAAATTTACAAAATGACTGCAAAGGGTTTGGTGTCAGACAGGCCTGGGTTAAGAGTCCAGCTCTTGTGCTTTTATTTATATGACCATGGGCAAATCATTGACAGCCCTGGGCTCTAACACTTGTTAATAAGGCTGCTTAAGCGTTGATAATTTACATAGTGTTTTACCATACAGTATGTTATACCATAGAATATACTTTTAAATAATAACCTTATTTACAATTTCAATATTATCTGTAGTAACTATAAAATAGACATCACCATTTTAGAAGAGAAAAACACGAGAATCAGAAGGTTAAATAACTGGCACAGGTCATTTTTTCACATCTAGCTCTCTCAACCTAGTGCCTCCTGTTCATTGAGCCAGGTGAAATGGCTGGCCAGGGCACCCTTCTATAAGAAACTCAAAACTGCTTAAAATTATTAAATTTGAGACAGGGTCTCCTTGTAGCCCCAGCTAGCCTGGAACTCTATATAGATCAGACTGGCCTGGATCTCACCTGCCTCTGCTTCTTGGGTGCTGGGATTAAAGGCATGTGTCACCACACAGTTTAAGAAAATAATTGTAAAACATTTGAAACATTTTATGGCTCTATTCACTTGTAAAGTGTAGAGGGTAACATAATCTAGGTATTGGTGACCTTAAAAAAAAAATGGACATCAGTGTGGTGGTACACACCTTTGATCCCAGCACTCGAGAGGCAGAGGCAGGCGAATCTCCGTGAGTTCCAGGCCAGCTGAGGCTACAGGGAGACCCTGTCTCAAAAAAGACCAAAAAAAAAAAGTCCAGAATGGAGCTCAGTTGGTACCGTGCTTGCCTAGCATGCAAAGGGCCCTGGGTTTGAACTCCAGCACTGCATGTAAATGAGCATGGTTATGCATACCTGTAATCCCAGCACTAGAGAAGTAGAGGCAGGAAGATCAGAAGTTCAATGTCATCCTCAGCTATAGTGCAAGTTTGAGGTCACCCTGGTCTACATAACACTCTATCTCAGTTTTAAAAAAATAAATAAGCCCAGTTAGATATGGCAGCATATGCCAGGATTTGGAAGACAAGAGTCAGGACAGATTCAGGAAGGCAGAAAGCACTACCATTGCCCAAGGAACTCAGAGACATACCTTCAAGCCAAGAGTGTAGCCACTCATTTTCTTCCCAAGACTCCCATGCTGTGGAAAACAGAAGAGTCTATCATGTGCCCACTCATGCCTCTACATTCTGTTTCTCACTAACTTAGTAGCTAGGCTATCTGGGTAAAAGATAGCAGCCAGAATTCTCTAGATACATCAGACTTACACAGAGTTCTCCTGCAAACCAGTCAAACTGCTAGGCTGCCTTCCCCAAGGCCATATTCTTACCTTTTTACTTATGTAAGTAGGGGTCAGTAGTCCACACACCACTAATTTAATAATAATAATTAGAGGTAGACAGATTTGGATCCCAGCTCTCCCATTTTGTGACCATAATTAGCTTCTAAGACCCTAAATTGGATAGTAATGGCCTCTGTTGGTTGTTGAGTACATGGAAGGTTCAATAAACAGAGATGATGACCATGATGACGATATGAGTTGAACTGTTTGACATTTTGAAGCAAAGTAATAACAGAAATACCCAGAATATATGATACATGAGTGAACTAGTGAGTGAAAAAGTAGGTTGACGAGCGTCCCTGGGTGCTATTCATCCATGACATGAGGGCAGTTGAAGTGGAACCAGTTCCACAATGAGGAGGACCAGCCAGCTGAACAGAGAGATTGTCACTGATGAAATGCACTGTGGCCGTGGGCCAGCATCCTTCAAAGCTCAGAAATTCAGTCCTATCCAGAAATCATTTCACACAGGGAGGCTGACCCAAACCTGAAAGTCAGAGAGGTACATAAGGCCAGATGCCAGTGATCAGTAAGCTGGATAGATAATGTTAGCCTGATAGACACAATCATTCCCTGGAAACAAGCTTCATGGAAAAGCAGATGACCAGGAGGTACCTGGGAAGTGTGGAATCCTAGTAGAGGAGCTGGATTCAGAGTTCAGTGGCAGCAGTCCTTGTTGGCTGGCTGCACAAATCTGCAAAAGGGACACCTGAGAGGGTCAGATATTCCTGGAAGACCCTGGTCCCTCTGTCAGATGAAGCCCTAAGATGTGTGGCCAGGATTCCTGCAGAGACTCCTTTCTTTGCCTTCATGCCAACCAGCTTCTCTTTAGATCAGCATTCCTTTTTGAAAAAAATATTATTTTTATTTTATTTTATGTGTATGAGTGTATTTCCTGCATGCATGTAACTATACCTGTATCATGTGATGCCCACAGAGGTCAGAAGAGGTCATAGGATTCCCTGGAACTGGAGTTATAGATGGTTGTTAGCTGCCATGTGGGTGCTGGGAATCAAACCTGGGTTCCTCTGCAAGGACAGCCAGTGCTCTTAACCACTGAGACACCTCTCCAGCCCAGATCAGCACTCCTTTAGACATGTTTATAGAGTCATATAGCTAGCACTTTGCTATTTCCAAGCTTTTGGGGAGGGTTTCAGTGAACAGCTATGGATAGTATACATGCTGGCAGCTGTGACCATACACTCCATTTTTTTAAGCTAAATTACTCTCTAGCTTCTGCTCCTTTCCTCTCTTTTTTCCCTGGTCCTTATTTGGAGGAAGAGGGAAGACTAGTAATGAAGAAGGTAATCTGGCAACAAATACGGTTAAAAAAAACAAAACGAAACAACTTTTTTTTTTTTACTGTCTCCCTTAGTTACAACACCAAGACTCCAATTTTGCACTAGATTTGGGTACAAACTGGCAGAGGAGTGATCAGCTGATGGCCTTTTAAACCTCCCCACCTCTCTTGGGATACCTTGTTGTGGAGCCTTAGGCTGATGGCTTAGCAAGGCCACAGGTATTCCACCAAACTGCTGTCCCTTCTCACAGCAATCACTGAAACACCAGGATTGGGGTTAGGGTATAGTTCATTTAGTTGGTAGAGTGTTTGCCTGGCATGCATGAAGCCCTGCCTTCAATCCTCAGCACTGCAAACAAACAACAAAAATATGATCAGGAGGGCTGGAGAAATGTTGCTCAGCAGTTAAGAGCACTGATTACTCTTGCAGAAAACCCAGGTTCAATTCCCAGCACCCACATGATGGCTGACAACCATCCCTAACTCCAGTTCCAGGGGATCCTATGCCCTCTTCTGACCTCTATGGGTATTGCACAACATGGATGCACGTACACACATGCAGGCAATACATTCATAGGCATAACATAAAAATAATAATAAAATAGCTGGGCATGGTGGTCCCAGTACTTGGAGGCAGAAGCAGGTGAATCTCTGTGAGTTCAAGGCCAACCTGGTTTACACACATATTGAGTTCAAGGCCAGCTGGGGCTACTCAGAGACCCTGTCTCAAAAAGGACAAAAAAAATTTTTAATATAAAAAAAAATAAATATGATCAGGAGAGCCTGGGCTAAGAGCAGCTGAAGGATGGTGGCCTTACCCTTCTCTGGGTGTGTCCTTTTCCTTTGGGCTGTTGGGCACCTTGTTGAGTCACATTTGTCTTCATGTTATAAAGCGTTTTGCATTCTTTCTAGGACAGTGGTGAATCTCCAAGATCTGGGGATTTGAAGACAAGCACTGAAGCTTTTAGAAGATTGCCTGCCACAAGGTCATTTCTTCTTTGAGGCATGCTGTAGGCATCACCAATAGTTTCCTGACAGTAGCGACATATTAAGATGTACACCACATCCTCTGTGGAGGCACTTGCCAAAAATGTTTTTCCTGTTTTCTTAATCTTGAGGAAACAATCGGACAATTCAGAATGTGAGACTGTCTCAAAGACAATTTGAACTACATTTGTTTGGTTTGTTTTTTTTTGAGACAGAATTTCACTTTGTGGCCCAAGCTGCTGGCCTGCTCTTTGGAAAACAAGTCAATGCTATTTAAAAAGAAGAAGCTGAGCCAGGCGTGGTGGCGCATGCCTGTAGTCCCAGCACTTGGGAGGCAGAGGCAGGCAGATCTCTGTGAGTTCAAGGCCAGCCTGGTCTACATAGTGAGTTCCAGGACAGCTGGGGCATATAGGGAGACTCTGTCTCAAAAAGACCAAAAGAAGAAGAAGAAGAAGAGGAAGAAGAAGAAGAGGAAGAAGAAGAAGAAGAATAATAATAAGAAGAAGAAGAAGAAGAAGAAGAAGAAGAAGAAGAAGAAGAAGAAGGAGAAGAAGAAGCTGAGTATGGTGGCTTGTGACTTTAATCCTAGTACTTCTAGGACTCTGGAGTCAGAGGCAGGTAGATCTCTGTGAGTTTGAGGTCAGCCTGATCTACATAGTGAGTTCCAGGTCAGCCAGGGCTACATGGAGAAAGCAGAAGTGGGCGGGGGAAAGGAAAAGAAGAGGAAGGGGAAGGAGGGAAAGGAGGAACTGAAGGGGAAGGAGGAAAAGACAAAATGTGCTGTTATCCAATATACCGTTTTGTATGACAGAAATAGTGTATGTCTG